GAGATTTGCATGTTCATTGGTCAATAATCAACACTGATCTATTGACATCAACATTAAGTAACACCCCCATGTGTAGCTGTGTGTGTGTCTCAGTGTGAACATGGGCTTTACAGTACCATGTTCACAAAATTCCCACTGAACCTCAGCATAATACAAATCTTCCATTTCTGTCTCCAGGTTCATATCTGGAACAATATACTTTTTTTTTCATATCCTCCTTATATTGTAAAGCAAAGTTTTTCTTGTCTCATCATTGCTGCTTTTAATGGAAGAGAGACAATTGCTTTGAGGGACAAAGACAAACTCAGAAGGGAATTGGAGACCTCCTAACTAGAGTACCCCTAGTTGTCTAGCCTTGGATCACCCCGTGATAGTGGCAGATTCTAGATGCATAGCCTTGGTTATATTATTTAAATGTGCACACAGTTACTGCCAGGCATGGATTGATGTTCAGCAAAATCCTATATCTGTGATGTCGAATCTATGGCACGCGTGCCACAGGTGGCACATGGAGTCATATCTGCTGGCATGTGAGCAGTCAGCTCCAGCACGTATGCGCACACCGGCCAGTTGATTTTTGGTCTTCTGGAGGATGGGGGGAGGCTGTTTTCACCCTTCCTAGGCTTCAGGAACGCCTCCAGATCCTGGGGAGGGCGAAAAACAGGCTTTCCTGAAGCCTGGGAAGGACAAAAACCGCCTCCCCCGGCCCTCTGGAGGAAATACCAAGCTCAGCTTGGAGGTGAGTAGTTCAGCACGCATGAGTTAGGAATGTAAGGGGGGGTTATGCGCTCATGCGTATGTGGGGCATGCTTATGGGTGCCAGCATGTATGTGCACCATTGCATGCGCACCATTGCATTTTTGGCACCCAGCAACAAAAAGATTAGCTATCACTGTCCTATATGCTAATGCATCACAGCAGTGACCTTCCCCAAACTGACCCAATGCGCTAGGCATTTCCTAGCAATAGAAAAGTGTCTGCATGTGGATCTTCTCAGTTATATCAGAAACATTACACGTGCATTATGATGCAGATGCCATCAGGATGCAGCATCATGAATATTTAGAGTATATATCTCCATCCACATTCCACTCTGCTCTGCTAAAGAGCAACCAGAATGGCTTACAAAGTTTCATAAGAAGATCATCCCTGGCCATAGGGTTACACTCTTTAAAAAAACAGCTCATAGAAATAGAAAAGGGAGCAGGATAAAAGAGGGGAGGAAAAGCAAGCACAGGAAACTCTTAGTTACTAAGTACTTGTCGTGGCCAGATGGACAACAAAACAGTGCAAAAAAGAGGAGCCAAAAGAGGCTACATTCTTGGCCAAAATCTATGAAATTGCACAACTGTTGGCTTGATGACAACTGGAGAAGATAAGGCAGAGACTTTGAGGATGCAATGGCTCCTGCTAAATGGCGGAAAGAGGCCCTATCCGTATTATGAATCCAGATTTAAGATGAATTGATTATGTTTATTATCTCAAATTATAAAGCCACCCATTCTGCAACTGCAATCCTGGGCAGCAAATTTAGGACTAAAAGCCAACAAAAACAATGCTTTTCATTTAAAGCAATAACATTCAATTAAAAGACAATCTCAAGAGTTCCTTCTGTACTGCATTCTTTCATAGACAAAAAACTAGAGAGAAAGAATGAAATTGATGTGAGCACAGGGAAGCTCAAATGAGCTATATTCTGGGTTTGGACCTCTTGAGTCTTAAAAAGACCCAAAGGGAAGGAGATTCCTAGCAAAGCTGTCATTTTTTGAGTCTTTTCAAGGCCTGCATGAAAGCAATCCCGTTTGGCCTTTCCACAATCAATCCATACATGATCTGCTTTTAGCCACTAGGCTCTTCTGCTGAATGGAAAAGAGCTGCTTGATCCAGAAAGAAATCTGAAATGTTGCTTCTTGTGTCTCAAGATTTTGAAGCATTTGTGTTATCCAGTTTTATAGTTTCACCACATAGTTGTACTTTAAGGTAAAGGTTCCCCTCGCACATATGTGCTAGTTATTTAGCAATATAGCAATAGCAGTAGACTTATATACCGCTTCATAGGCCTTTCAGGCCTCTCTAAGCGGTTTACAGAGAGTCAGCATATTGCCCCC